AAAAAAAAAAAAAAAAAAAAAAAAAAAAAAAAAAAAAAAAGAGAGAGCGAGAGATTGCGAGCGGAGCTTTTTAATTGAGCAATCCTTTAAAAGTTGACTGGGTGGTTGCAATTGTCTGTGTTGCTCCGGGGGGGCAAGAACTCGCCTTTTGGTGTGTGAGAGCCGAGGTTACTGCGGGCTGGCACTGCTGGGAGTGGAGGACACTGAGGGGGGCAGCCGGAGGCCACTGGCTGGAGCCACGGTCAGATGCTCAAGTCCCCCCAAGGGTCTGGCCCTCTCCTGAGGGAAACAGGGCACCCTCTGGGCACCATCCTGCGCTCGAAGAGGCCGTGTACGGTACGTGTGTCAGCAAACAGTCAAAACGTTTTGGACCTTAAATCTGTAAATCAGCCCAGACCTCTTCTGTCCACAGATCCCACCTGCTTCCCCCAGTGACAGGAGAATTTCTTCAAAAGTAGATCTGAAACAAATTTTTGAGCACTGTCTAAATGCACTGTTGGAATTTTTTTCCATCTCTCCTCAAGCCTTTTTGCCAGCTTCTGCTTCATGTTCCTATTTATGTTTGGTACGATTATTTACTGTTGCATATACTAAATGGAGTTCAGAGGGCATGTCCCAGCAACGCTGAGCAGACACAGTTTAATTACTTTAATAGTCTTAAGCTTGTTCTCCTGCTTTTCAAATGAATGAATGGCTTATACGTATGGATCCTTTCATTCATCACCAGAACAATCTTCTGCAAAGGACAGAGGGGAACAGTCTTCATAAATCACAGAAAAACACCGTGGTGGTTTGGGACAGGAAGTGAAAAATACCGTGTTCACTTGAAACTGGATTTCAAAGAAACAGAATTCAGAGAAGCAGCATATAGTTATTACCCCACGTGAAATTTGGCCTGGCTCCACTGAAAAGCAAACTAGCTTCTCCAGTGCTTTATGGGGTCCAGACATTCAGCTCCAAACCTCAGCAGAAGTAAAAATAAAATAGAGACAGCAACCAAACACTGACTAGAAATCAGTTCAGGTTTACACATAATTCTAGCTCTGAGGAACACATTTATTTTCCATGTATGCTGCTACTGCCGTTTTGTTGATTTGCTCGCTTTTTGTTTTGACTTGCAAGCATTCGTGTTGAAATACAAACATCTTTAACAGGGTTTAAATATTTCAATGTAGGGCAGTGAGGGATTCTCAAGAGAGTCTCTGTCAGTGTCTAAAGAGCAGCATCGCGCTACCCGTGCCATCGGTGAGGCATGGCCCTCGGATCTTATTTCCCTTGCCCCAAACAGCACTAAACTGCAAGGCTCGCCCAAGTGCTTCCCTTTGTTTCAAACCCTTGTATCTTGGAGCACTTGTTGAACCTGACGACAAGTGCATCAAAGTGGCTGACAATTACGAAATAAACAAATATCATTTGAGGCATTTTTAAGCAGAATACAGTAATACATAGATTAGCTTATTGATGTCGTTATCGTATTGAATATTATTCATACTTCTGATATTTCTGCTGCACAACAGCATTCCCTGCTCAGTAAACATCATATTATCTCACTATGCAAAAGGCTTCATTAATCAAAACAGACAATAGGCCAGACGCTCTCTCTTTGAGTCTGGGGTTTTGGATCTTCTAGGCTTTTTACCTTGTCTAAATGCCTTGTCCCTGTCAACATGGAAAGCAATTCTTCAAAACAGATTGGTATAAAATGTGGTGCTAAAAAGGAAACATTATCTAATTCAGTTAAAAGAACTTCCCAGTTATTTTATATTTTCCATTTAATTTTTCATGACTTGTAGAAGCAAAACTTTTTCACTATTTCATTCAGAGATTAATCCACTCATTTGTTGAAATACTAATGAAAGAGCCAGATAAATCTCTGTCCTTCAAACAGCAGCAGCAGCAAGTGCCAAGATCAAGAAATAGGGAGTTGACTGACCATGCTGCCTGCCTCACTCATTGGAGGTGGGGAGTGGATGGTGGATGGGGAGCTGGGAATAATGTGGCCATGAAGCCGCTGTCCGGAAAGAGGATCCTGGCAAAACACGATCCTGACTTGGTGCAAAGGACCACATATTGATGGCAAGGTAGGACGTTTTAGTGGCTAGGAAAATGTTGGGGTGCAAACTCTCTGCTTTGTAGGCTCACTGCAGCATCACAAACATACAGCTGCATGCTGCAGGTGCAGAGCAGGCACTCGGGCACACAGCGTTGTTCCTTTGTCTGGAGAGTTTGGCAGAGACAGATTTGAGCCCCGTGATGTATGTTCTCCATCGCGCAATTTGTGACAAAGTTGAACTCTGGGTGGTGGCTTGCGACGTGCGGCAGGCTCTGCCTCGCACTGGGCCACAGTGTGTTGGGTCGAGCTGCAGCCTGCACAGTGGAGTAATGCTCCCTTCTGTGGGATGTGCAGGCAGCTGTGGGATTGATTTTGGCTATGTGTTTCTGAGCCATCTTCTGCTTTCTTTTTGGTTACTGCAGGCCTGAAAGAGACATGCCATAATGATGCAAAATAGTATTTCCTGCACAGAAATACATCAGAACTGTTTCAGACTGAGCAATAGAAGTGACAGCAGTGGTTGTGTGGTGCATTCCAGAGTGTAAGGCATAGATAACTTCAGAGAAGACAGGAAGACTGCCTTTTGACAGTCTGTCGTGAGTGGTCTCGTTCAAATTCAGCCTCTTGTCTCACATTTCAGAAAACCTAAATTCAGTTCTCATTTCTCCAGGGATGGGGAAACTCAGCACTGTCAATCTCCTCTTTCCTTTTCAGACAACAGCAGACACTTAAATGGAGACTGGTTAATTCCTTGTGTCTACATCTCAGAAACAGAAGTGACCTTGAATTATTAGAAAAACAGAGAGACCTGAAAGCTCCCAGACAACCTCTCCAGATCCTTGGCCTTGGAAAAGTCTGAGTGAGGTCATACCTGATCCCTTCTGGTCTTGCAGCCTCATGCCGTGTAAGAGACTTGGAAAACACTTTGAGATAGCAGGAGAGGAGGGATACTTCCTGGCAAATTGTCTCTAAACTGGTCCCCTCCCTGTGCTGCAGCATTTCTGTGACTCCTTAACAACATGAAGCTGTAAACAATGGCATGTACTTGTATCTAAATTCTCCAGGATTAATTCAAAATTCATTGACAATGACATTACTAGAGACTTTTCAATTCTGCCAATAGGCTCTGGATAAGACCCTTACATTCTTAATAAACATTATATAGTTTTAAATGTTGTAGTCATGTTCTTAAGTTTTTTTATTTAATCAACCATTATCTTTGGCTTCTGTGTTAACAAGTTCTTGCTGGAGGAACTCATTTCACCTGTCCTGTCTACAGCAAAAAACACCTTCTTCAGTAAGACAATGTATATTCTACTTATGCATCAGAAACAAGTAATAATAGGTTTCAAGGAACTGTAACATTTAATAAAAGCATTTTATTACATTTAAATTTATTAAAATTTAAACATTAAATTCAACATGTTAATTACTGTTTCTGTGCATTGACACTGACAGTCAGAAATGGATCCACACAACTGCTCTGCTGAGATATGCTCACTGGTGTTATTTGCTCTTTGATAACTAATGTATTATTAGTGCTCTTCATTTGGGACTTGATTCATTAACAAAAAGACTTATATGGGCATTATGTAAATTTTCGGTATGTCTTTTGCATAGCTACCAGGGCATGTATTATGAATCTAATTGAAAAGAAAAAAAAAAGAAAACGTATTCCGTTCTGTCGTGACTCGTGGGCAAACTAAGTGTACAGTCACTCTCAGAAGTCAAATAAGCACAGAGAGGAAAAACCTTTTCAGTACATCACAGCCTGTGCTTCTGCAAATCCCTTTCCAGAGAAACCACACACAAACCCTAGCCTGCTGTGTTTTGGCATAAACAGCAAAATGGTGGCAGTGAAATGTTCAGACTCTTGTAGATCTCATCCATGTGCCTCCTGTATGCATCGGAGCTTGCAGCTAGTCGCCCCTTTTGGTTTTAATCAATGATTTCTCGTTAATGTTTTTGAAGACGTGATTTGGTTAGTTCTAATCCAGATGTTGTCAAGCAATATTTGTATTTCTCCAATTGTGAAACTCAGCTAAAATCAGGGAGGGCTCTTAATCTGTAAAAGCTCATTGTTACTGTTATGGCAGCAGTGTGTGGGGCGGTTCCTTTGTCCCAGGACACTCTACACAAGGACAGTAACAATTTCTGCTTTATATAAAGATTTTCCCATCTTTCTGGGACCAAGTGGACTGGTCCTCAGGCTGGAGCATCCCCTTGTGCAGCGCAGCAGAATCGCCCAGGCTATGGCAGGAGGGAAGCGGCCCTGCAAACCATCACTGATGGGCTGTTGGGCCCAGCCCCATGCTGCCCTTAAACATGGGGACATGGAGTGACACCCAGGCCCCTCAGCCTTTCTCTGGGAGAGAGTAACACAGGCTCTCTCTGGAGGCATGTGTTGTCAGTCCCTCACCCCCTTTTTTTTTTCCCCCTACAAAGATATATTCTTTTTCACTTTCTTCTCTTTCTCCTGTCTCTTTTTTCTCCTGCAGGTGAGCACCCTGCGGCCAGAGGCTCATCACAATGAGGCAAATCCTGCACCTTCCAGGATACTGTTACACCTCCAGAGGAAAACAGGATGCTGAAAGCACACATGGTTTCCTCCCTAAATTAAAAAGAGTGTGTAAATCTGTTAAGATTAGTGCACATCAATCCCTGCATTTGAATCAAGAGATACTTTCGTTTGCAAGCTATTGGGGAAAAAAAATCGTATCATTCAAAGTGTATTTAATAAGACAGAAGGAGACAGATTTCTTTGACAATGTTACAGCTCTTATCAGATTACACTAAAATTAAATTAAAACAATCTAAACGAAGTGTTGAGTACTGAAGGGAGAACACAAACAAAACACTTCTCTTTGTAGGCTTTCAGGGATGGGGTACTGATGTTAGTTAACAGGGATGTGAGCAATAAGATTATTCTTGAGTCAATTATGAGTCCTTCAGTGTCAGCATGGGAGATCCGTACCACAGCGGAGAGCGCACGCCCTGCACCAAGACAAGGAGTAGAAGGGTGAGAGGAAGAAAGTGAGTAACATACTGGGGTGACCAGGCTAAGGCACCATATTTCCTTATTTTAAATAACACATCAGGGTGTTTAACCCTGTCTGCTTTTCTTTCTTCTACTTTGGCTTTCCTTCTACTTTGTTTTCTTCTCCTTTGTGCTGCCCACAGTGCTGGGACTGGTGAGGCCAGGTTAGCACCTTCCCTGTTAGCATTACACCCCCATGTCTCTCCCTGCCCCCCAATTACCCCAGGTAGAGATCAGCCCCTTTCAACTGAAACCTGGAAATCTTAGTTTGGGAATAAGGTTTTCCAGTATGTACATACAATGTCTGCTCACAATTTTAGATAGCACTAGAAGCGTTTGAAAGTTTTGATATTATTTTAGCAAGCACAAATATTTTCAAAAGCAGTTTAGTCTTCCAGAACCAAACCTGGTATGTCACTGGTACAGGCTTAAGAAAGACAGATTCTTTGCCTGTTTTGAAAAATAACAAATTTGTAGTATATGAAAGTGTTTTCTTGTTCAAACGCCATATAGTCTCTCACAGTTTTCTGCACTGACAATCAGCGATGCATTCAAAGTATGTCTCAGCCTGACAGAGCGCGTTTCATGGCTGACATTCTGAAATAACAAGTTTTCAGCGTCTCACCTCGGAGTCAAAGGGGAGACTATTTATTTTGATGTAGATATTAGCAATGAGAGCTGTTATGAGGGACCTTCTGAGGGAAAAAAAAAAGCAATTTAACTATGAAGCAACCATGAAAACCTTTTTATTTCCATTTTATCTGCCCCCATGACTGAGCAGGAACATCATGTTGATACAAAGGCTCTGGAGAAGTCTTAGTACTACAAGTAACTCTCAAGGAGGGCAGCAGGATCATGTCTGCAGCTGAGATGCCAAAGCTCCATTTTTTTCCCCGCATATTTTTAAAGGAAAGAACGAGCTATGGCAGACCTGGGTTGCAAAGTCAGGGTCTGGGGAAAAAATGCCCAATTTTGGAAATTTAGGCAAGCTCAGACCTAGATTTCACCTGTTGGTTCTTGTGAAGATGTGAACTTGCACTGTGATTGAGGTCTTCATGTGTTTGCTTCCATTAAAGATATGAGTGAGAAAGAACAGTACATCTTTTATTGTGAGTGTGTTTTATGTGATTTCAATAAAAGGCTCCCATATCTGCAAATCCTTTGCCTATGTGTTTTCTTGAGTAGGTAGGCTCTTAGATGAACTAAAGCCATCCATATCTTATTGAGCCATTTATTTAAAGCGAATGCAAAGGCTAAACCAGACAGCAGCTATGGTTATTCAAGTGACAGAAGCTAATTTGAGGGCTCTTAAGTACTGCTACAACAATTCAGCAAAGTCTTTTGCTTTAAATTTTAAATTTGGTTTATTCGAGTTGGAGGCTGAAGATGTCAAAAAACACTAGGAATACTATCACATGACACTGAACCCTGGCAGAGGAACCTTGACCCTCATGATGCTTGTCTGGATGCTCTTGAGCCTCTTGAACCTCCCGGCGCTGGCATGTGACTTGAGCTGTGTCCTCCGCGTGCTGCTACTAGCTCGCAACTGCAGCTGATGCTTTCATGTGGCAGTTGTCAGACAGAAGTTCTAATGAAGGGTAATTATGATGATGATCTTGTACTAATTGTGTACTGATTGCTGTTCTAATTATGCTTAAGCATTTCATAGCTATCCGCAATTTTGTCTATTGATGTAGCATTTCTTCTCCTTAAATTCAAATACTCTCGCGGTATTTGAACTTTCTTTCATTGGGGCCCTTGAATCTAAGCACTAATTTGGCAACTTCCTTTCAAAGGGATCTAAATTTTTATCTGAAAATGGGAAAAAATGTAGTTTTCTTTTCTACTTCATCTTCCAGCTGGAGATGTAAATGCAGGGTTTGTCAGGGTTGATCCAGTGCTCATTCAAGGTGGTGTGGCTTTTCCCACCAACCAATGGATTTTGGTGAGAGGACATCAACGAGCTCTGCCAGCTAGACAAAGTGATGGTTCAGAGGAGGAGGAATTGGAAATTTTATTGAGGTGCTTGATTTCTATACACATGGAAAGAGGCCATTTGCATTTTCTGATTTTTTTTTTTCCTGAAAAACATAGTGTACAATGAACTCAGTAAAACCAACGGGAGAGAGCGGGGCTTCTACTGTAACTGTTCAGCAGCTCATAATTATTTTTGTAATTAATGTCCTAGCCCCTTGCAAAGTCCCTATTTACCCCCTTTTCCAGAGACACAGCATTTACTTCATTTGACTCTCTTTAACCAAGTAAGAAGCAATAGGACAAGAGGGAATGGCCTCAAGTTGCACCAGGGAAGGTTTAGACTAGATATTAGGCAGCATTTCTTTCCAGAAGGGGTTGTTGGGCGTTGGAATGGGCTGCCCAGGGAGGTGGTGGAGTCCCCACCCCTGGAGGGGTTTAAGAGTCGGGTCGACACAGCGCTGAGGGATATGGTGGAGTTGGGAACTGTCAGTGTGAGGTTAATGGTTGGACTGGATGATCTTTTAAGGGCTTTTCCAACCTTGATGATTCCGTGATACTGCCGCGCCCCAGGTTACCCAACAACTGGGGCACAGCTCTTGACACTCGTCTGGAGACTTGACTGGGCACCACAGCCATTTTAACTGCTGTAGTAATACCTAAATTAACAGATTTCATCATATTGTATGAACAGACGACGTACTAGTTTAGGAATGAATGCTTCAAAGCTCAGCCTGAGATGCCCGGCATCTGTACGTGCCCGCACGCAGCGCGGGGCGGGACGCCTCGGGATGGCGGAACACCCCCGAGCCCGCCCCGCCCCGCCCC